GAGCTAGAATTTCCAGCAGCCAACTATAAGATAACCCTGAGAAACTGAATATATTTTGAAATTGAGCATTGCTTGTACTTTTTTTCATGAGAGTTCACATTTTAGTTCAGGTTGCCAATATCATTCAATAGCTGTTCATCAGTTCAATACAATTTGAATTAACATTTCACAGAAATTAATGAGGTAACTTTTCATAGTCTTAACTATATCCCTATTAGAAGCCACATATAGCAAGTATTTTGAAATATTACTTTTCCTTTCATATTGACAAGACAGTAGGAGACACAATTTTTTTGTTTGAAAAAGTGAATAAATGTATTGACAAAACACGTGACTCAGCAGTAGGTTTACAGACAGTAGAAGAAAGCGGTGATATTCGAGCTTACTGACTGCCTTCTTAGTACATATGCTCAGTGAAGGGCTTCTCTGGTGGCTCAGCTGGTAAAAAATAAACAAAACCCGCCTGACAATGCAGGAGACCCAAGAGACGCAGATTCAATGCCTGGGTCAGGAAGATCCCCTGGAGAAGGAAGTGGCAGCCCACTCCAGTGTTCTTGCCTGGAAAATCCCATGGAGAGGGGAGCCTGGTGGGCCACAGTCCACGGGTCACAGAGTTGTACGTGACTGAGCACACACACCCACAAGCATGCTCCATGAAAGAGGAAGAGGAGATTCTTGAAACGAGTAGAGGATGGAGCTACATGGTGATACTGTAGTCGAAGGAGAGGCTGGAGCTGCGAGATAGCACCTTGTTAACTTGGCCGTGTTCTCAGATCTGGGCTGAAGGCTCCAATGACTCATTTTTCGTCCGTGTCCAAAGTGATTTGGCTCTTGAAAGATATCACAGCGACTAAAACACAAGAGAGTTTGTAAGTGTTGCCAGAATTCCAGTATATTAATTTACAGTAAGAAATTAAATTGGCATAGGAAAAAGCAGTAGGATATGAGTATGATATTTGGATGAGAAAAGTTAAGTAGTAAAGTTAATGTTTTATTGCATCAGGCCCATAATCACCTGTTGTATCCATCTCACCATAGGGATAGTCTGACCACACGAATAGCCTTATGATTTGGAATAGAAAAAAATTGCCACGTGCTTGTTAAGGTTTTTCTTCCCATGAACAGTGTTTTTATGGATTGTCAGCATTTGTTTCTATGATTCCCTTTTTTCTCTGCTTCTCTTTTCTAATTGACCTATTATTTATTTTGCTATTACAGTAGTTATATTATGGTCAAATGTTGCTGGTCCTGCAGCTCTTCTTTTGTTTTACTCTTTTCATATCTCTGCCCTGACCTATCTTGCAGTTTAACTTTCGGAGAGGACTCTTCTTTCTGAATTGCTGAGGCCCATCTCACTGTTGTCTTCAGGTGACTGACATTTGTTGAGCACGTTCTTGGTGCCTAGTATTATTAGCTCATTTTATAAGTTACAGAATTGAAATGTCTTAGGATTAACGTTTTGCATATATAATCCTATTTTTCTACAGACTTATATGGAGAGTGTATGTTCTAATGGAAAAATAGACCCCCTACCCTAAAGCTCACAGTATCACTGTTGGAAATGTGGTGGAATTGGATTAAAAAATTGTACCAAGTTCATACTCTGAGTTATAACATCATTCATTTAAAGTGAATGAACTAGAGATGCGTGTATCAAGATGGATAAATCTCAGAAATATAATATTGAGTAAAAAGAGCAAGTTGCAGAAGGTTTCATATGACACAATGCCATTTATGGGCTTCCCAATGGCTCAGTGGGTAAATAACCACCTGCAGTGCAGGAGACGTAGGAGATGCATGTTTGATCCCGGGGTTGGGAAGATCCCCTGGAGAAGGAAACAACAACCCACTCCAGTATTCTTGCCTAATGTATCCCATGGACAGGGGAGCCTATGGGCTACAGTCCAAAGGGTCACAAAGAGTCACACGTGTCTGAGTGACTAAGCACTATCAATTATATAAAGTTTGAAAGCAGGGAAAGAAAAATGGACTTCTAAGTAAAGTTAGTCAGTTAAACATATGTGTTTACTTTCTCCTTTTGAGCTTAATGAAAATTAAAGGGTTTATTTTTAAAAGCATAAATTTACAAGGTCAGTGAAAAATTGAAGACACAAAAGCAGTAACAGTGTTTTAGAAACTGGAAAAACAGATGAGCAAATGTTAGCAAACTTAGCAAATCTGAGAAGCATGACTCCCAGCAGAGAAAAAAGCTTAGAAGGAACCCAGTTTAAGCCACAGAACCCCAGAATGCTCAGTAATTAGCAGTGCCAGGAACCTGAAAGTGGAGTTGAGGCTGATGCTAAAAACAGTAACCTGGTTGAAAATCTGTTTAAGAAGCAATTCGGTGTTAACCAATAAATGTAGAAGAAATAATAGAGTTGGAAAGTCACCATTTTTCAACTGTCATTGTGATAATCAATTCAAGGAAAAATCATTAGATTAAAACCATTGGATCAAATTTTGTTGGGGAATAGCATATTTACATGGTCTCAAGGTGCCCTACAGATTTCTTATTAATTACAAAGAGGAAGAAAAAGTAACTTTATAGTGGACAAATTTCACCATATCACCTTAAGCAGTTAGTCAAAAGTTGTATCAAGTAGAACAAACTTCACATCATGTATGCCTCTTTGTATAATGCAGTGAGAGTAAGACATCATTCATGTAATGTATATATATTATATATATATACACTATATATATAATATATAGTAATAATATATATATATTATTTTTTTAATGAACAAACTTAATCAGTTCACAAGGAAGTAACCAGAAAACCTCATGAAACTCCAGGCTAGTCATGTCAGTGTAATGAACAGCAAAGAAAAACTAATCAATGTGACAACTAAATGTGACATGTGATCCTGAATGGGGAGAAAACTTAGCTATAAAGCATAGCATTGGGATATTTCTTTAAATTTGAACATAAACTATGTATTAAATGATAGCATTGTATCAGTGTTAAATCTCCTGAAGAAAAAGGACAGTGTTAAATTCCCTTTGTGAAAGTTTGAAAACCATACAACTTCTCTACCCAGTTGAAAACTGGAGGTTTTATTCATGGGGAAGGGAAAACAGTACAGACTGTTTTTCAGACAAATATGAAGGAAAAGGTACATTCTGAAAAGTAAAGGGATTAACTGAACACATTCATACTGAACATATAAAGTTGAATTACAGATAAGTATGTGGGAAATAAATAAATGTCATTATCTCCAGGAAAAACCTTGGGTAGAAAAAGGAACAGTAATCCTAGTATACAGAAAACTCACTTGTTGATAGTGTTTATTCATAATACTAATATAAATATTGAATATTGATCTGTAGCTATATTGAGGATATGCTCATTTGCTCAGTCGTGTCCAACTCTTTGTAGTCTCATGGACTGGACTTTAACCCACCAGGGTCCTCTGTCCATGGAATTTCCAGGCAAGAATACTGGAATGGGTTGCCATTTCCTTCTCCAAGGTATCTTCCCAACCCAGGGATTGAACCCCATCTCCTGCATCTCCTATATTGGCAGGCGGATTCTTTACCACTGAGACACCTGGGAAGCAGGATAAATCCTCATTTTCAGTAATGAGAACTTAATATATATTGCTTAAAACTGAAAAATAAAGCAGTGATAATAGAAGAATGTTATGGAGGGGTTGGAACAAAGTCTCCTTCATAGCTGTCAACACTCTTGTGACTCCCTGGTTTGGCCTGTACTATAAATACCAGCCAGAAGAATATAAAGTAGTTGTTTCCCAGGAGAAGGAAATAATATTTTTCATAATAAGCCTTTTAGGACAACGTGGCCTTACATAACTTTGATTTAAAGAAAGAATTTGAGAAACCACACACACAGTGCTGTAGATGAGTTCAGTTCAGTTCAGTCACTCAGTCGTGTCCGACTCTTTGCGACCCATGAACCGCAGCACGCCAGGCCTCCCTCTCCATCACCAAGTCCCGGATGGATGAGAGTAGCAAAGTTTTTTCTTCAGAGCACCTGATAGTAAATATTGTGGCCATTGTGAGACAGTCTCTGTTGCAACTATTTAACTCTGCCAGTTTTTCTCTGAAAGCACTCATGGACAGTATGTAAACCAGGGGGTGTGACTGTGCCCAACCCAACTTTGTTTACAAGGCAGGCAGCAGCTGGATCCTTGTTTGTCAACCCCTGCTGTTGATTGGTGGTTTTCAAATTGGGATACCTGTACCCTGGGTACACAAAGACTTCCTGTGGGATATACAGGTATGGATAGCTTTAAGGCAATTAATTTCCATGTTCTCTCTTTTCATAAATAGTCCTTCCTAAAAAAGATTTGCTGGAGATCCTTCTGGTCTGCCAGTACTCCTTTCTTTCTTTTTTTCATAATCATCTGTCTTTCAGAAGAAAAGCTTACTTCTTGTCCACCCTAAATCTAACTATGGTGTATTGCCTTGGAATTTAAAAATCAGGGCACCAAACAAAGAGACATTGGAGAATCTGTCCTGAGGAAAAGTTTCTTGTAGAACAAAACAGAAAGCTTCAATAAAAATTATTGAAAGGGGCAACACATTTTATCCAGGTGACAAACTCATGGCAAGACCCCATGCCTTATAGTGTCTCTGTCTACCTAGCTATCCATTTATCTCTCTTAATACTAAAATTCCACAAGTGAGAAAGTTGTCATGGGCACACATAATAGCAAATTTATTTGAATTTAAATATTAAGTTAGACTTTTTTCTGACAGCCAGATTTGGGTGATTGGATTTGACATTGGGGACTGGTTTTGCCAATTAAGTTATATGGTTATATTTTCCATAAATTGAATAAACTAAACTGCAGTCCAAAACTTTGACAAAAATGTTTAAAGCATGCATTCAATCTACAATAAACTGCCATTATTTAAGTGTCAAATAAGCACGGTGTTACATAGTTTTTAAAAGTCTTAAGAGATGAGCATATAAAAGTTTTAAAAACTGCCGTTTTGTTTATGGGTCTGTAAAGACGTAGTAGAAGTATAAAAGCATGCGTGTAGTTGTTGCTGCTGGGGAAGGCCAGTGTGGACAAGGGGTCACGGTATTTTCTTGGTCATATCTGTAGTTTTTCTTTTCTTTTTTTTTTTTTAGTTTTTGTTTTCTTAAATTGGATGGTGGTCATACCTGTAGTGTTTTCTTTCTTAAGTTGGTCATATGTGTTGTGTTTTATTTCTTAAGTTGGATGGTGGGCACATGGGCGTATATTATATTATTAGCTATATTTATTTATGGGCTTCACTTGTAGCTAAGTTGGTAAAGAATCTGTCTGCAATGCAGGAGACTCGGGTTCAATCCCTGGGTCGGGAAGATCCTCTGGAGAAGGAAATGACAACCCACTCCAGTACTATTGCCTGGAGAACCCCATGGACAGAAGAGCCTAGCAGGCTGCATTCCATGGGGTCGCAAGAGTCAGACATGCTTAGTGGCTAAACTACCACCACCACGTTTATTTATACATGTGAAATACTTCCTTTGAAAAGAATACAGTGAAACTTTATAATCATATATTTTAAGTGAACATGTTGGATCCCTGTTAGAAAAACAACATATTCAGAATAAACTGAAAAATTAAATGCTTGAAATTCTAAAATACCAAAAACACTTAAGGAGTTACATGGCAATATGTATAAGAAACAATAAAAAAAAAAGGAAAAGAATCAATGTGGTTTAGTTTTGGGAATTCCTTTTTAAATATTTAATGCTCTTATGATTTTATTGTTCATTCAATTACTTATCAGGCACCTAGTATGTGCTTAATAGGTAATGTAATTTCTTTGTAGACGTATGTTGTACATACCAGTTTGTCCTAGATATCTAAACTCTGTTAAATTATGTGTAAACCATTTTTAGTATCATCTTTTTTCCTCTGTGAAACTGAATTAATCTCATTCTTTAAGGTTGCAAGGAAAAAACAGTCACATACTGCCTTCTGAAACTGGATCTCATTGCAAGTTTACACAGAAGCTTTGTCTCTTCAATGGTATAGTCCTATGAGATCTTTGGTTTACGAGATTGGAAAGAATATATCCTGAGCTTCATCAACGTACCATTCTTTATTTATCTACTAGCATTTCTGCCTTCCCAAAGGAAAAGATGTGGTTGAATGGGTTTACTACCATCCACAGTGAAAAGTCCCTGTTGGGCCAAGTTTTATGCCAGTTATTTGACCTCTTTCTTACCTAACTCATTTGTGGCTGCCTTTAACCAGACCAGGAAGCAGGCTTATTCCCAATCAGGACTGCCTGAAGCTTAGAAGTTTATACCTGCCAGTGTAATTTTTGGGCACTTTTGTGACTGTGACTTGGCCTATACACTATGACTTTACTTGATTTTTTTCCTTGTTTTATTTAAAAATTAGTAAACAATATTTCCTAGAAATAATAAATTACCCCAACTCCTATGGCTGGCTGCACAGCTCTTAACTTCTAACAAGTTAATTTACTCATGTATTCATTGGCACATATTTGTAATTTTGGTATGTTTATTGCTTTGTATCTGATGTTTTCACTTAACTGTCGTAGCAAAGGAATATAAAAAAGCACTTGAAGCACAATAGCAGGACACTTAGAGATGCCTTTTCTATGTACCTTCTTTGGTATTGCTCAGTTGTGTCCGACTCTTTGTAACCCCATGGACTGTAGCCTTCCAGGCACCTCTTTCCACAGAATTCTCCAGGCCAGAATACTGGAGTGGGTAGCCGTTTCCTTCTCCAGGGGATCTTCCCAATCCAGGAATTGAACCGGGGACTTCTGCATTGCAGGCAGATTCTTTATCAGCTGAGCTACCAGGGTGGCCCTTTGGTATTGATCTCTACCTTTGTGAAAACTGAGAAAATATGAAATTTGCCATGCTTCTCTAGAAAAGTGTAGTAAGGATGAAAGTGAATCATTTGTGTGTTTTGAGCTCTGCAGAGTCTATACTCTAACCATAAGCTAGTGAGCATCTCTAACTATAGGTATTTATTTATTAATTGTGCTAGAAATTTTTGTCAGTTTATGCTATAAGTCTTTGGTTCTCAAAACATTGATTTTAGATGGGTCTTACAAAAAAGTAGTATCTCAAATTTCAAGCCTCCCACCTTTCTCAGTCTGAAAGGATTGCTTCTTATATACTTCTGTACAAAGCTGAGGCCTGAGTTTAACTTTAGTTTTGGCACATATTTTCTACTGTTTTGACCTTTATCTGACTTTTAAAGCAGAATATATAAGCTTTTTTAAAGTTGTATATAAGTAAAGTGCTTATTTTTGGATATTCATTATTTTTGGATATACTTGTGGTCAGATTCTTCTGAGATTCATCATAATCTACTGGGTGCATATTTAAAAGTGCAGAATTAGTTGTGAGTAGTTAACCTTCTGAGTCATGTCATCGGTCACTAAGACAAGACCCATTTAAAACTGGGTTTACCTCCAGAGAGGGAAAAGGTTAAAGAAGTTAAAATGAGAGTAGGGTTTTTGTTCGTTTGTTTGATTCACACTTTTTGTCTGTTATCTCACCAAACACTTTCTTGTAATTTTCCTTTTATTCATTATTGTGATATTCTTTACAATCTAAATTTTAGAAGAATTAATTGCTGCTAATCACTTTTATCAAATGTAATCTGATCATTTGATTTGCCCGCTGAGGAGCCAAGGGTGTAGGTGCCATACTTAGCACTCTTTCTTTTAAGACTCCCACCTAAGGAATGGGCCCCAAAAACACATAACTCTTAAAGCCAGTTGGGCTTACATCCATGAGACACACAAGACTATAGCAAACAAAGAAGTGCTTGTTAATGGACAGGAATACTCACCACAGAGGGAGCAGGTAGAGATGCCCATTTCCCTGAAAGGGGCCTATCTGCATACTTCGAAAGTTGCTGCCTGTGGGTCAGGCTTCAATTTAGCACACTGTCTAGGGGACGGCGGCAACCCTCCCTGGACATCGGATAAACCAGCAGACACCTATCTACTTTCTCCCTCCAGACCACTCCAAGTTGCTGCTACCTCCCTGCAAAAAGCTTATACATACATCTGGCGCCCCAGCTTTTGCAGCAGCTGCCAAAATGGACAGATGACTGAATCACCTGGCTCTGATAGCTGCTGGGGCTTGCATTCATGAGCCCCACAGGACTATAGCAAACAAAGAAGCAGCTCTTAATGAGCACAGGAGCACCCTCTTTTCTCTCCCCAACCCCACAGCTACAGGAAACAGGAATAACACCCACCTGCTAGCTTCTCCCGGAAAGAAGCTTAACTACAAATTTTTGAAACTACTTAGCTGCTGCCTAAAGTCTTTGACTATGTGGATCACAACAAACTGGAAAATTCTTAAAGAGGTGGGACTACCAAGCCACCTTACCTACCTCCTGACAAACCACCATACTCCTGTATGCAGGTCAAGAAGCAAGAGTTAAACACTCTCCGACATAAATCACAGCAGGATCCTCTATGACCCACATCCCAGAATATTAGAAACAAAAGCAAAAATAAACAAATGGGACCTAATGAAACTTAAAAGCTTTTGCACAACAAAGGAAACTATAAGCAAGGTGAAAAGACAGCCCTCAGATTGGGAGAAAATAATAGCAAACGAAGCAACAGACAAAGGATTAATCTCAAAAATATACAAGCAACTCCTCCAGCTCAACTCCAGAAAAATAAATGACCCAATCAAAAAATGGGCCAAAGAACTAAACAGACATTTCTCCAAGGAAGACATACAGATGGCTAACAAACACATGAAAAGATGCTCAACATCACTCATTATCAGAGAAATGCAAATCAAAACCACAATGAGGTACCATTACACGCCAGTCAGGATGGCTGCTATCCAAAAGTCTACAAGCAATAAATGCTGGAGAGGGTGTGGAGAAAAGGGAACCCTCTTACACTGTTGGTGGGAATGCAAATTAGTACAGCCACTATGGAAAACAGTGTGGAGATTTCTTAAAAAGCTGGAAATAGAACTGCCATATGACCCAGCAATCCCACTTCTGGGCATACACACCAAGGAAACCAGATCTGAAAGAGACACGTGCACCCCAATGTTCATCGCAGCACTGTTTATAATAGCCAGGACATGGAAGCAACCCAGATGCCCATCAGCAGACGAATGGATGAGGAAGCTGTGGTACATATACACCATGGAATATTACTCAGCCATTAAAAAGAATTCATTTGAATCAGTTCTAATGAGATGGATGAAACTGGAGCCCATTATACAGAGCGAAGTAAGCCAGAAAGATAAAGACCATTACAGTATACTAACACATATATATGGAATTTAGAAAGATGGTAACGATAACCCTATATGCAAAACAGAAAAAGAGACTCAGATGTATAGAACAGACTTTTGGACTCTGTGGGAGAAGGCGAGGGTGGGATGTTTCAAGAGAACAGCATCGAAACATGTATATTATCTAGGGTGAAACAGATCACCAGCCCAGGTTGGATGCATGAGACAAGTGCTCGGGCCTGGTGCACGGGGAAGACCCGGAGGAATCGGGTGGAGAGGGAGGTGGGAGGGGGGATCAGGATGGGGAATACATGTAAATCCATGGCTGATTCATGTCAATGTATGACAAAAACCACTACAATATTGTAAAGTAATTAGCCTCCAACTAATAAAAATAAATGAAAAAAAAAAAAGAAGCAGCAAGAGTTAGAACTGGACATGAAACAGCAGAGTGGTTCAAAGTTGGGAAAGGAGTATATCAAGGCTGTATATTGTCACCCTGCTTATTTAATTTATTTGCAGAGTACATCATGCAAAGTGCTGGGCTGGATGAAGTACAAGCTGAAATCAGGATTGCCGGGAGAAATATCGATAACGTCAGATATGCAGATGATACCACCCTTATGACAGAAAGCAAAGAAGAACTGAAGAGCCTCTTGATGAAGGTGAAAGAGAAGAGTGAAGAGGAGAGAGAGACTGGCTTGAAACTCAACATTCAAAAAACTAAGATCATGGCATCTGGTCCCATCATTTCATGGCAAATAGTCACTATCTGCAGTGATTTTTGAGCCCAAGAAAATAAAGTCTGCAAGGAGATCAAACCAG